TCAACACCGTGTTCTATAACACTGGTAAGGCGGCCAGTGGGTGTCAGCGCAAGGACCGGAACCTGGATGAAGGGAGGAGGAGGAGGCTTCCTCGTCCCCTAGCTCACAGTTCTCAAGCTGAGAGTCCCCGGGAGCCTTGGGGTTACTGACTGGCTACCCTCAGTGGTTGGGACAGATAATGAACATTGGGTATTTTGATCGACTATCTGAGGAAAAATGTCACATTTCTTTACCGTTAGCTGTAACTATGAAAGTTCAGTGAGGTAATGTTAATGTAATTTTCAAGAGGGTGACTGGGTTATTGGGGAAAAGGAAGACAATAAAAAGGGATATTTAATAAGGCCAGCAGCAGGGCTCCTGTTTGTAGCCAGCTCAGGTGGACAAAAAGGACACACAGGAGACAGAGGCTGGTCAGGCCTCAGACACGCCATGGTGCACGGTCTGCTGAAAAGATGGCTAGTTCCCATGGTGACCTTATCGGATGCTTTGCAAGGAGCGCCAGGGATTGAGCTGCCCGCCCCCGACTGTTAACGTCCACAAACGCAGCCGATCCCTAACCATAACCGGCTTCGGTCTCACTGTCCGCTCTGTGTCTTGGCCTCCTAGACCTGTTTAAGTACAAGTTTGTGAACAGCCGCCTGGTGAACAGCACGTTCCTGCACAATAAGGAAGGGTGCCCGCTAGATGTGACAGGGACGGGCGAGGGGGCCTACATGGTGTACTTCGTCAGCTTCCTGGGGACACTGGCTGTGCTTCCTGGAAACATCGTGTCTGCCCTGCTCATGGACAAGATTGGCAGGCTCAGGATGCTTGGTAAGGGGGTGAAGGGCCGGGTGCGGCTGGGGCAGGCTGTCCGCGAGCTTCTCACCTCCAGCTGTGGAAGAGATGGGCCAGAGTGCTTCCCCCTGTCTTCCCCCATGTTTTGTTTAGGGGTGCTGCAAAATGGGGGCGGGGGGCCTGGCATAGAAGTTACTCTAGGGGGATAAAGAGAATGACAGGCAAGTAGATACAGACTTGGAGGTTTCGGGTTCGAAATTCAGCTCCGCCACTTACCTTGGGCAGGCTCTGCCCTGTGAGCTCTCCCCTGCAACCTAGGAAATGAAAACAGCGCCTCTCTCCGAGGATTGATGCCTCAGAAAGGTGCATCTGAGTGGTCAAGTCACGTGTCTCTTGGTTGGTTGGAATGAATGGCTGCCACTGTTACTGATAATAACAAACGCAGGGGCTGAGGAACCTTGGGAAACAGTGACCCAGGGTTGTCGCCAGGCTCGCTGGTGGCGAGCTGGGCCATGGCTGGGTTTCATTGCTCTCTCTTCTGGTCCCAGCCGGTTCCAGTGTGTTGTCCTGTGTCTCCTGCTTCTTCCTGTCCTTTGGGAACAGCGAGTCAGCCATGATCGCTCTGCTCTGCCTTTTTGGGGGGGTCAGCATCGCATCCTGGAGCGCGCTAGACGTGCTGACTGTCGAACTCTACCCTTCGGACAAGAGGTAGTTTGGAGTGGGGTGGGGCAGGGGAGGAGGTTTAGGAGCCACAGGAGGGGAGAAGTGGGGTGCAGTGGGGGGGTGGCTGGATGGGAAGACTCTCGTTAGGGGTAGGACCCCCCCCCTCCGCTGAGTTTCCCCAACATTGGGAGCTTTCTCGCTTACTCCTGGTACTTCTGGCTACTGACCTCACGCTCCTGTCTCCTCTCTCTCTCTCCTCCTGATTGGTCTGTATTCCCCCCTGGTCCCGCACCCGGCCACCCTTCCTCCCCTCTCCCGAACACTGCCTGCCATCTTTCCCCACTTGCCCTGCCTGTCTTCCTCCTCCTGGGCCCTGACCGCCGCGTGACTTGGCTCTGGGGCCTCCCGAGCAGGACCACGGCCTTTGGCTTCCTGAATGCTCTGTGCAAGCTGGCTGCAGTGCTGGGGATCAGCATCTTCACCTCCTTTGTGGGAATCACCAAGGCTGCTCCTATCCTCTTTGCCTCGGCCGCTCTTGCCCTTGGAAGCTCTCTGGCCCTGAAGCTGCCTGAGACCCGGGGGCAGGTGCTGCAGTGAGGAGGGTCTCGGGGCGTCAGGGGGTGGCAGGCACACTGTGAGACCAATAATTCCTCTTATCCCTTCCTTCCCTGCCCTGCCCTCCCGACCCTCACTCCCCTGTGTTTGGTGTCTTAGCTGTGTGTGCCTGTGTGCATGTGTGTGACCCTGACGGGCAGGGACGACAGGGAAGGTCCCCTCATCCCACGTGTGGGGTGAGGCACTCCCCACCTGCTGCCACCCCTCAACTTTGCACAGGAGAAGGTCGAGCTGCACCCTTCTCTCCCCCAGTGTTCGTGGGGGGCCCTTGTTTCCCTGATCCGGGGGTTCCAGAACTTCTGCCTCCCCCTCCATCCCCTCTGCCTAGGCCCTGGTGAACCACAGGTATGGAGTCATGTTGGGGGCTGAGGCTTGGACCAAAAGAACTTCTTGAGTGGGAAGGGCCTTGGGTGCCCTCTAACCTCCCAAGGATGCTGGGGAGTAGCAATAAACCTCAGCCCTCTGGCCTCCATTTTCACCTCAATGCAGGCTACAGATAGGAAGCCTGGATTTTATGGAATTAGTTTTCTGATTCTTGTTTATATATAAGTTCTGAGGCAGCTTAGCAGGACTGTGTGTGTATGTGTGTGTATGTATGTGTGTGTGTGTGTGTGTGCCATGGGGCAGGGGTACCACTATACTGCTCAAATCTAAGCCCAGGGTAGTAGTTTCAGTGAACACACACACAACACTGTCTTTCTTTATTACCTCCCAGAATCTTCCATGTTGGAGCTGGGAGGGGGAAGAGCTAGCCAGGCTGGGATGATAGTCCTGCGATCTAGGGAGACCTGGGGGCACCCGACAAGGCCTCACTCTCCTTCTTCCTCCAGAGAGGTTTCACCCCCTGGCCACAGGCCTCCCACCTGACCTGTCCTCACAGGCAGGACCCCGAGGAGAAAGGGAAGAACCAGACATAAGGTCAAACCAGCAGATCCAAAAGCACAAGGAGTTGGGGCAGGGGCAGGAAGCAGGGGTCCTCCCTCAGCCCTTCTCAAAGAGGCCGGGCAGTGAGGGACCCCCAATGCAGGGACCAGAAGCCTCAGTTTCCCCATCTCGCCGTCCACAGCCAGCCTCTGTAGGTAGAGCTGCCCCTGTCCTACCCTACTCTGTGTGGCTGCTTTCTTTGGTACTCTCCCCCGACGCCCTCTGTAGCTGTGATGTGTTGTAGTTTTTAGCTGTTTGTAAAATGTTAAAAAGTTAAAAGGAAGTTAAAAATAACCACACACAAAAAAAGAAAATTCCAAATTCACCCTCCTCGCGCTTCGTCTGGTGCCCTCGACCCTAAGGCCATTCCCTGATTTTGTAACACTGAACCAGGTGGTGACTGTAACTCTGGTCTCTGTGCTCAAAGGACTGCCTTCTCCTCCAGTGCCCAGTGTACGAGTGTGTACCCCTCCTCACCATTCCGTGGCTGGACGTAGCCCTCTCCCTTACATCCCCGGGGGGGAGACACATCCACTTTCTTGTCTCCTTGGGAACCCTAAACCTGACTCATTGATGTGAAAAATGAAATGAAAAAAACTGCTGAAAAATAAAGGGTACCAATCCTTAGAATTCAAAGTGGCTCTGTCTGCTTCTTGCATCTCCACTCACATTTAACACCCTCTATTATTATTCTTGACTTGTGGAACAGGATGTCTCAAATCCACATTTTTGTTTAAGAACCATTTATTTACGGGGGCTGGACAGGCAGCTCTGTGGGTTAAGAGCCCTTGTTCCTCTTGAGAGAAGCAACAAAAACGTGTGTTCTGTGTGCGTGAGCCTCCTGCTTGCACATGTGTCTGTGTACCACATGTGCCTGGTTCCCATCAAGGCCAGAAGAGGGCATCAGATCCCCGGCATCTGGAGTTACAGTTGGTTGTGAGTCACCATGGGGGTGCTGGGAACCGAACCTGGATCCTTGGAAGAGCAGAAAGTGCAGCACCATCTCTAGCCCCATTTTAAGCCATGTCTTTTGGGAATTCCTACTGCCTGTAGCTTGCCCTGGATTCCTCCCCTCCACTCCATTGCTGCTTTAACCAAGACACATTACACTTTTTCTTTTTGTGAGACAAGTCCCACTAGTTAGCCCTGACGGGCCTTGAATTCAGTTGAGATCTGCCTGCTGCTCCTCATGCTGGGATTAAAGGCGTGTGCCACTACCCAGGGCTCTGAAGCCTTTAATAACCTTCTACTGCCCAAACAGGCCCAATCTAGACACTGTTTACAGTCAGAAACGGTCAAGATCACATACTCAGACATACGCATCTGCACTGCTGGGGTTAAACCCAAGGCATCAGACAAGCTAGTCAAGAGCTCTGCCGCCGAGACACATCCGCGGCCCAAGCTATGGTCAGCAACACCTTTCTCTGGGAACCTCCAGGTGAGAGGCACTGGAAAGCTTCACCTGAGCTCCCCTTGAAAACCCAGGCAGTGTTTGTCTCCGTTCGTTTCCTGCTTCAGATGCAGCAATTTCTTTCTTTCCGGTGTCATTTTGGGATCCTTGTAAAACCCCAATACTTCACTTCCTCACGAATCCCTTCTTCTCACAACACAACAAAACAAAACAGAACAACAGACAAACAAAAAAACGCCTGTAGGGGCCTAACAGCCGCATAAACCTGATGACCTCAATTCTTAGACTCCCAAGAGTTGTCCTCTGACCTCTACATGAGCGCCATGGTGTCATGTACCTCCCATCACATACACAATACGTAGCTCCAACTTAACGGGTATTAAGAACGCGGCTTTGACCTCCCAAGGCTGCTTCTCTTTATTTTCATGGCCCTGACTCACTCATCAGGACCAGGCAGCCCTCCCCGACTAGCCCAAGCAAGGGCAGCTGTGAGCAGCTGCTCTCTCCCTGGCCACCTTAGCTTTCATGGGCCAGGAGCTTCCTGGCCTCTGCATGGCGTACGCTAGCAGAAAGGGTAGGGACCCTGGGCCACACAAATCAAGGTATGACGTAGTAGTGACTTAGGAGTTTATTCTCATTCGGCCCCTTCCGATCGTTGTTCTCCCAATCTGGGTATTAGGAGGTCCCTCGAGTTTTCTTGCTTCCACCTAGGCAGGGGGGGCTAGTGTCCAACTGTGGGTTCTCCCTCCACTGGGCGGGGGTCTTCGCCTGGATGGCCAGCGCGTGTACCGGTCCAGCCAGCTCCTCCGACAGCGCCGCGTGGACCAACCGGTGCCGCTGCAGGGGGCTCAGACCCTCGAACCGAGAGCTCACCACGGCCACACGGAAATGCGTCTCGCTGCCTGCTGGGACGGCGTGGCCGCCGCTCTCGTTGCGCAGCTCCAGGACCTCGGGGCTCAGGGCTTGCTCTAACTTGGCGCGGATAGCGGCCTCCACGGGCCCGCCGGCCGCCGATCCCGCGCTGGCCGGCGACACACACGCGCGCGTGGCCATGGGGACCACGCACCGGGCCAACGGCGCCCTCAGCATCCGCTGCGGAGAGACGAAGGGCGCAGGGCTGAGAGCTGGGCCCACACACCCCCCCCACGCACCCCAGGACCGCCTCTGCACTGCAGTTGGCGGGCTAACGCGGCTCCTACGCCGGCCGCGGAGGGACAAGGGGCGATTGTTGGAACGGCCGGAGGAGCTCTGGGCATTAAGGGCACTGGGAGGGCATGGCTGGGAGCTGTGAAAAGGGAGGATGTGCAACTTGGTCCTTCTGGCTGAGTCAGAGCCCTAGCGTCCCCTCCAAACCCTAGGGAGGTACCTTTGCAGCCGCTGCGCAGCCAGCGTTACCTTTGCTTTTCCGAGGCGTCCGGAAACTCGCTAGGAAACGCAGTCCTGGTTGCGTCTGGTAGGCGTTACGTAGTACCCGGAGGTTTCATGGGAACTGTAGTCCCGGCTCCTCCCAACCGGTGTCCTGAGAAATCCGGAATTAGAGCAGTGCAGTGCAAAAACACAAGGGTTAAAGGATTTCCTGCAAATTTGGGATTGTTGCACCGGATTTGTTGTTTCTTGATCTAGTAACCCCAATAGCTTTATTCCTTTATAATTAATTAATTAAAAACAAGATATCATGTAGCCCAGGCTGGCCTCCAGCTCTCTAAGAATGCCTGTTATTTCCTGATCCTCCTGCCTCTACCCACTGGGATTACTGTCCCATGTCAGTGATAGAGTGCCTCCAAAATAAAAACAGGATTCCTGTGCTCGATAGGTCAGCCACAACTCAGGGGGAATGTCGGCTGGGGCAGCCTATTTCCCAAGATGGTCTGTCTTGCTTGAAGCCCATCATTCCAGGAAGAAGAAACGGAAGACCCTCACGTAGTCCCCCACAGCTGCATCAACTTCCTCATCCCCAAATCTCTCACCCACCCCTATATAGGGTCACAAGCAGATTTTTCCTCTTGCAGACCCCTTCAGGCCTGAGATAGGCTGTCCCTTGCTGTGTGGGCTAATAAACAGGCTCACCTGTTGAGGTCAGACCTGTTGAGGTCAGACTCTGGTCTCTTTCTGCCTTCTGTCTCTTTACTCTGTACTCCTAAATCTAATAGTCACACCTGAGGGTCCCAATTACTCTATTATACATATAAGAAAATGGAAGCCCATTCTAGATACTAAACACATAATCATTGTGTGCCAGACCAGTGCTGGAGGCTGGAGAATAAAGCCAGGGCCAGCTTTTGAAGTTTACCGAAGTCAGAGGAACAGTGAGAGAGACATTGTGATACTGTGTGCCAAGTGTATGATGGGACTAAACACAGTTTACTGCAAGCATATAACCTAGATTTGGGAACTAAAGAAACGTGCTGTGAAGAGACACAGCAACTCTTATAAAGGAAACCATTTAATTGGAGTGGCTTACAGTTCAAAAAGGTTTAGTCCATTATCATCATTGGGACATGGTGATGTGTAGGCAGACAAGATGCCGGAGTAGAAACAGAGTTCTAGATCTTCATCCACAGGCAACAGGAAGTGAACTTACACTGAGCACATCCTGAATATAGGAAACCTCAAAGCCCGCCCCCACAATGACACACTTCCTCAGACAAGGCCACACCCCAACAACAAAGCCACACCTCCTAATAATGCCACTCCCTAAGAGATTATGGGGGCTAATTACATTCAAACTACCACATTCCACTCCCTGACCTCCTATAAGCTTATAAAAATATCATAAAGCAAAATGCATTTAGTCTAACTTCAAAAGTTCCCATAGTCTACAATAGTCTCAACAATGTTTAAAAGTCCAAAGTTCAAATTCTCTTCTGAGATTTATGCAATCTCTTAACTGTAATCCCCTGTAAAATCAAAATAAAAAAAATAGATCACATATTTCCAACACATATTTGTTCCAAATATACATTATTGTTCCAAAATATAGGGAAGAATGTGTAGTGAGGAAATACTGGACTAAAGCAAGATCGAAAACCAGCTGGGCAAACTCCAAACTCTGCATCTCCATGTCTGATGTCGAAATGCTCTTCAGATCTCCAACTCCTTTCAGCTTAGCTGACTACAGCACACTTCTCTCCCTTGGTTGGTTCTACTCCCTGTTAGGAGCTCTCCTCGGCAGGTATCCCACAGCTCTGGCATTTCCAACATCTTGGGGTCTCCAAGGTAATCAGTGTTCCCCTTCACAGCTTCACACAATGGCCTGTCTACTAGCTCTCCATTCAGGGACACCCCTGACACTGCCTGGCCTCAGTGGCTTTATTCCACAACTCCTTTCTTCTATCCTTAACTCTAAACCACATGGCCAAAGCTGCCAAGTTCTTCTGCTTGCTGGGGCTGGAACATCGCAACCTTGTTCAATTACATCTTCATCAACTTTCTATTTTATAAGGTTTCCTTCACTTCCTAAGCTTGGCTATCCTGAAACTGGAACTGTAGAACAGGCTGGCCTCAACTCAGAGGTCCACCTGCTTCTGCCTCTAGAGTTCTGGGATTAAAGGCGTGTGCCACCAGCTCCAAGCTTTTCTTTAGTTCCTTTTCACAAGCTGGAAACTTGCATGGGTGGGACCTTACCCTGAGGTCACCACTCCCTTAATTCCATTTCTTAATCTGTTTATCTCCTTGAACACAGGACTTAGTTCCATTCCACTTCCTGATGCTCCTTTTCTCCTCAAATTGTACATTTTGTATTTTTCCTTTCTCAGCTTGCTCTTTTTCATTATAAATCTTTATAAGTATGAACACTAAGTAACCACATGACAGAGTCTATACGAGGCTGTTTTAAGCTTTCCTCTGCCAGTGGAATTAATCCAAATCTCTCACTTTAGCTTCAGGCAGACTCTTTGGACAAGGGCAAAAAGCAGCCACATTCTTCATCAAAATACCACAAGAACAATTTCTAGGCAACATGCTAAAATTCTTCTCCTCTGAAACCTCTTGAGTCATGCTCCCACAGTTCAAATGACCTTCAACACTACTGTCTTCTATGCTCCTACTAGGATGCAGTACTTAAAGCATTCCACTGCTTTTTGAACCCACAATCCCAAAGTCCAAGTGCAGGCAGACGTGGTGCTGGAGAAGGAACTGAGAGTTCTACATTTTGATCTGAAGGCAACAGGAAGTGAACTGAGACACTAGGTGTATCTTGAGCACAGGAGACCTCAAAGCCCACCCACACAATGACACACTTCCTCCAACAAAGCCACACCTCCTAATTGTCCCACTCCCTGTGAGCTTATGGGGGCTAATTACATTCAAACTACCACACCTTTCAAGAGATTTCTAGAGAGTGGCCTTAGGAGTGATGAGGCCTTGAGGGTGTTGCTCTCAGATGGATTTGTGCCTTAGAAATGAGCTTGAGGAAGCAAGGGCACTCCTCCAGCCCTCCTCAAAGACATCTGGACGGTGTCATCTGGAGAACTGGCCTTTGCCAGACACTAAGTCCATCAGCAATTTGATCTTGACCTTCTGTCTCCAGAACTTAAAAAAAAATATTCTGTTCTTTATCAATCACTCAGCCAGTGCTATTTTGGTACAGCAGTACAATAGACAAAGGCAGCGTCCCAGCGATGCTGAATCTTTGGAAACGCAGTCAAGGATCATGCATTGTACTTACTCGGCTTCAGATTTCCATTTTGCAAAGATCACCGTTTACAGTGTGGAAAATGATGATAAAAAGAGGCAAGAAATGAAACAGGGAGATGAGCTGGGACGTTAGTGCAGCTGCCCGGGTGAGAGAAATGGCCTTCTCAGGGAGAGAGAGGCACGGGCCACTGCCGCCTCTTCCAGCAGCCTGCCTTCTTCTGTGGGGGGGCTGCCTCAGATTCACCTGGGATGCTCATGTCACCTCAGAAGAGAATTTCAGGCTGAGCTAGGATGAAGGTGAGCTGGAGCTGGAAAGGAAGAGCTTTGGCACAGAGTGGGAAGCAACACTCAGATGTGTTCCTGAGCTCTAGAGAGTTCCGCTCAAGTGTCTTTCCATGTGAAGGACTTTGATGTCTTCTGAGGTTAGGTCTCACAGTTGCTGAGGAACTGGAAGGAGATCACAGAGTGGTCCCTAAGGAGCAATGACTAGATCACAGCTGATAAAGTAGGACACAGGCAAGTTAAGGTGTCTTTACTGTAAACAAAAATTTTTACAATTAAAACCTTAATTGTAAGAGTCCCAGAAACTTTTGAATTTTCACATTTTTTTTTTTTTTTACATCTGGGAAAGGAATAAGATCACATTCAAAGGCCATATATACAAATAGCATGCTTCATTGCTATTTCAACATTCTTATTTGAAACATCTCTACATAAAAGGAATGTTGCCTCCAGGTAGGCAACCTCCAGGTTTTGACAGCAGGTTCTGACAACCGTGCTGGAGTGTCTCCATCTCAGCTCCTGAAAGACTTGAACTAGACTCAGAGTCAGTGACTCCTTTTCCTTCTTATGTCCCCTGGATTTTCCCTTCTTTATCTATCTGCCCTGTGTCAGCCTGAGCCAAGATGGTAGTAGAAATGGAGAGACACTGTGACCACAAGACATTCCAAGAGGAAAACACACAGGTTGTGGCAATAGATTATGAGATGGGAAGTGTTACAGTGATTTTCCTTTGTGCATCTGAAGTTATAAAATAATACAAACGATCCCTGTATATCCCTTGTCCATCTCTCTCTCCTTGTAGTTCTACTTCTCTGCGGGTTCCTAGCGTTTTACGAAAACATTTAAAAATCCAGACACTTTGGTACATAATAACCAGAATGAAAATGGTTAGTCACAGCCCCACGGCCCTCACCCCGAATCGACAGCTGCTCTCAATATTCTGGACTAGTCCCTCAGTTTAGACTTTCGGAGTTGACTATTTTCCTTTGGAGATGGAGCTTTGGACTGCTGCTCAGGTTAGCATCAAGCTCCTGAACTCCCAGCCATCCTCCTGTTTCAACCTTCTGAGTGGCTGGAACTGTCAGTGGGAGCTGGAGGCCCAGCCTTATATTACCACCTGGTCTGTGGAGTTCTAACTCTTACTCATGTTAAGTTAGGATCCTTGATTTATGCTGTAAAACAGAATTTCAGGACTAGCCAGTGTGAAATAAAAGTTGGAGTTTATTCAGGAAACTTTTTTTTCTTGGTTTTTTTTTTTTTTTTTTTTTTTTTTTTTTTAAGGTATATGTGTATGTGTGTATATATAAAGCTGGGTATGGTGGTACACCTTTAATGCCAGTACTGGGTAGGCAGAGGCAGGCAGATCTCTGCTAGTTCAGGGCCAGCTAGCTTGGTCTATGTTACAAGTTCCAGGCCAGCCAGGACTATACAAGTGAGAGACCGTTTCTGTTTGTTTGTTTGTTTGTTTGTTTGTTTGTTTGTTTGTTTGTTTTTAGACACAGTTTCTCTGTGTAGCCCTGGCTGTCCTGGAACTTCCTATGTAAACCAGGCCAGCCTTGAACAGAGATCAGCCTGCCTCTGCCTTCCGAGTGCTGGATTAAAGAT